ATTCCTCTGGGGGAATTATCTTTTTAAAGTGATCCTTACAGGGGTGTTTTAAGGTTACTTTAATCACACAGCTCCTTCGTTTTGACCTCTGCACTTAATTTTATTTTTTAAAATAACATGTTGGTGGTACATTTTCTCTGCTTTTAGCCAAGAGCTTTCAGTCCACCAGTAAATAAGATCACATGGTATTAAATTTTGTTGTTGCCATCTTTCTGTAAATAGTGAATTTTTTTTTTTTATTAGCTTGGCACTGCTTCTGTCTGTCTTAATGCTGGCATTAAGATCATAAACCCCTTTTCTCCGGTAGTGCAGGCTTTGAAAATTACTTTAAGTTATTGATGCAATTTCATATTTTTTCATAATCTATATTTAAAATTACATCATTGCATCATCGTTTCTAAATTCCTCTCCATTAAAACTTGCCTTAAGCTACCAGGTTGCTTTTACCATTAGCTTTACTGTATATTTGTATGTTTAATTTAGTTTCACATTAAAATTTTGTGTAGTGAAAACAAAGTCTTGGCTGTTTATTGATATAATGTGATAATTTCTATCCTTCAAGCTACAATTCTTATGATCCAATTAATTTATTTTTTTAAGGAAAGCAACAACAGTGCCATCTAGTGGTCATATCTTCTAGTTCGAGAGACCTCCCTTTAAATCACAATGTACAATAATTTTCCAGTGTATGATGTGGTTTTCAAAAAGTCTGATGGAAGTAGAGTGGGAAGTGGGAGCAAGAAGATCAGAAATTCAAGGTCATCCTTGGCTACTACAGAGTTCAAGGCCTGGGCTGTATAGTCTCAATAAACCAAAATGGACTGGAGAGATGACTCAGGTTAAGAGCCATTGCTGCTTTAAGTTTGATTTCTAGCACCCAGAGTAGTCAACTCACATTCGTCTCAGAAAAGGGATCCAGTCCTTTTTCTGGCCTCCATGAACACAGTATACATGTGCATGAGCAAGTACACGCAGATACTTATTATCTAAAATTTAAAAAAAAAAAACTTATTTCTTTTTTTAAAAAGGGGGGGGGGGTGAGAGATGGTTCAGTGGTTAAGGTTACTGGCTATTCTTGTTCAGTTCCCAGCACCTACATGGCAACTCTATGACTCCAGTTCCAGGGAATCTAATACCCTCATGTAGCCTCCTTAGACACTAGACACCAATGTGGCACGTAGACATACATGTAGACAAAACACCCACAAATATAATAACTGAGGATCACCATGGATTTATACTATAGAATGAGACCAGATCTTGGGACAACCCCTGGCCCCAGCAACAACAAAATTTCATAAGTTTATCCATATTCTGAGGTGTGACCATAAAAGAATGACCTCTCGACAAAATAAACAAACATACATCCAAATTAGTACCGTTTTCCAGGCTAGTTTTAGAAATAATACATATTAGTATGTGGATATTAAATCCAACATTCCTAGAGCAGGTCTATTTACACCAGAAAATTAAGCTTTTTACTTTAGGAGCATTCCATAAGTTTTATCTATAATGAACATAGTTACAAATTTGCTCACTACCAGATTTCATACAAATGACAAAAACACCTTAAATACTGAATTGGCACCATTAAGGAGTTTTGGGCCAGCATCAGGAAGACTAAAGCAAGAGGATTATGAATTCAAGGCCAGTCTGGGCTACATAATGAGACCCTATTGAGGTGGGAGGGGGGACATAAAACAATTTTAAATGCTGACTATAAGCAAGGGCGTGGTGGACAGGGCCAGACCACTCCGTGATAGAAAGAAAAGTTTATTGGGGATCAAACTGCCAAGGCTGTCTCAGGTGTGAGGACAGAAGAGCAAAATGGGGAAAGCAAGCAGATTTTGGTGTGTTGGGGGGCGGCCAGTCTTTGAGCTGTTGAGGATTGACCAGCATTAGATGCCCTTGCCTGGGGCAGTTGATCTTTGGGGCAGGACCAAGAGAGGTTTCCCCTCTTTTAAACCCAGAGTTTACTGGCCGGTGGTAATTTAATCCTTTAATTACGCCTTTAATCCCAGCACTCGGGAGACAGAGCCAGGGGAATCTCTGTGAGTTCCAGGCCAGCCTGGTCTACAGAGCAAGATCCAGGACAGGCTCCAGAACTACACAGAGAAACCCTGTCTCGAAAAACAAAACAAACCAACCCAGAGTTCATACCTTTGTTTACCCAGTAACAATCCTGTGTAAGCCAAGCCTCCAGCACTGCTGTGTGTGTGTGTGTGGGGGGGTCCTTTGGACCTAACATAGTTACCAGGAAATTTTATATTTTATTTTATATATTTGGTTTTGAGCCTACCCTCTAACGGCTGAGCCATCTCTCCAGCACACTACCAGGGAATTTTAAATTGCTTATATTGCTGTCATCAGTATCAAGAATTATAAAATGGAAATTTTAATAACGAATGTTGAAGCCATACTATTGGGCTTTTAAATTAAACCAAAATATATTGGCCGGAAAGATAGCTCAGCAGTTAAAAGCACTTGTTGCTCTTGCAGGGGCCAAGGTTTGGTTCCCAGCGTCTACATGGTGTCTCAACAACCATCTCTAACTCCAGTTGCAGGAAATACAACATCATTTTCTGAACTCCATGGGCACCAGGTATGCACATACATACATGCAAGCAAGACAGTTATACACATAAAATAAACTTTAAAAAAAACTATTAATCATTTAGGATAACTTGGGAGATATAATAAATAGAAATTGAGTGCCCTAAATAGACATCATCTCTGCCCTCAAGAAACCTAGTCTATCCTCAAAGCAGTAGCAGCCTTTAAATTCTCTAGGAAGCATTGACAGTTCGGTGTATCTGTTCTGAATAATCAGAATAGCCTAACCCGAGGAGACATCTGACATCAACCGGAGAAAATACTGAGAGTGCAGGTAGCCAGCTAGTGAGTAGCTTAGCAAGCTTGAAAGAACATCAAATAAGGCCTACAGCATAGATTTGGAAGGGGCTGCAGAGGCCTGGGTGAGATACAAGCAGTTCTGGGCTGATTGTGTCAACTACCTAGAAGACGTTTGGACTGCTGCTTAGGAGAGGACAGGAGGTCACTGCAGTTGGGAGGTTTGTAGGATGAGTGCTTGAGAAACTTCCTTCGTTGACTGAAAAGATGAAGGCCAGAAACATTTGTTCTCCTTAGTCGTAGGGTAACCAGGTGGGTATGAAAACTTAGAGCTAAGGGGGAAAGTGCATTGTGTTGATCTTAAGACATACCAAAAAATGGGGTTAGGGAGATGGCTCAGTGGTTAAGATCTAGTTTTTTAAAAGCTAACAGCTTGAAATTTTTGAGCTAAATATCAGTGGTATGCCTAGCCTTACAGAGCAGAATTGAACACTGTTCGCTATTGAGACGGAACAAGAAAGGAGGTGGTATCATAAAAAAGGGATTTGGAAATGCTTTAAGTGGACACTATCTGTTTTTATTGGACCAAGGTAATCGCAGTGGTTCAGGGCTCCCACCAGAGAAGACCATTCAGCTGGTGACCACACCTGGGTGTTCTGAACCCAAATGCAGCCATGAGCCTTTCCTGGAGTCCATATTTAAGCAAGAAAACCACATTCTGGCTGGAAAGTCCCCAAGATTCCTTTCCCACAACTGCAAGCAGATAGTCACAAAAGGCAAAATATTCAATTAGCAAAAAGAGGGAGGTCAGGCAAGCTTTCAAAGAGTCCTCATCCTTGAGTTGTTTTTCCTCCAGGGATTTTTTGTTTTTGTTTTTCGAGACAGGGTTTCTCTGTGTAGCTTTGCGCCTTTCCTAGAACTCGCTTCGTAGACCAGGCTAGCCTCGAACTCATAGAGATCTGCCTGCCTCTGCCTCCCGAGTGCTGGGATTAAAGGCCTGCCCCACCACCGCCCCGCTCAGGGATTGTTTTTTTAAGTTCCCCCTTATAGTTACTGGCACTTTCCTCATCAAGACAAAATTCATCTAAGGTACCAAAATGGAGTTACAGTCAACTTTATAGCCCTTGTCATAGCAGCAACACTCACCTTCCTAAATGAGGGGATTGCAGTCCTAATTTTCCCCTAGAAGAATCAGGATGTTTGTGGATAACTCTAATAACTACTACATGTCACTCTCAATTATTAAATACTTTGGGCTGGGAGTGTAACTATTACATTTGTCTAGCATGCACATGATTCTGGGTTGGATCCCGAGCACTATCATGAAAAAGAAAAAAAGGGTCAGGTGGTGGTGGTGTATGTCTTGAATCCCTGCCCTCTAGAGGCAGAGGCAGACAGATGTCTTGAGTTCAAGATCAGCCTGGTCTACAGTTCTAGTTCCAGGACAGCCAGCGCTACCCAGAGAAACCCTATCTCAAAAAAACAGAAAAAAGGGAAGTAACTGTTATTGGTCCATAACTGAAATGTCATTGAAGGCCCTTAGACTCCTTTGTCTTTTAAGCCCATCAACATCTTGCTTTCAAAGTTATCACATTATTTTTACCGGCAAGATTGGTGTACACTGACAGCTCCTCCCAGCTCCTTTCCTAAATGACTCTCTATTCAGCATCTACCTCAGTTAGAAAATGGAATGTTTATTCTGTTGTTTATTCTTTCAAGATTTATTTTGTGTATATGTGTGTGTGGTGTATGATGTGTGCCTGAGAAGGCCTGAGAGGACATCAAATTCCCTGGAGCTGGAGTGATTGTGAGGGGCCAGGCATGAGTGCTGGGAACTGAACTTGGGTCATCTCTCCATCCCAGAGTTGACTCCCCCTCTTCTCTTACATGCAATCTGTAATTCCTGCCAATTCTATCATGTAATTTTGAAGTTATATACAAAGTGTTTTCATACAAGCCAGACACTTAGAAAGGTGCAGACCCACCAACAGGTCTGTGAGGTAGGTATGGGTTGGTTTGTTTGGGGGCTTTGTTTTTGTTTTGAGACAGGGTCTCAAGGTAACCTTAGATTTCCTGAAATCCACTATATAGACCAGGCTGGCCTAGAATTCACTACTTCTGCTTCTGGGAAGAGCTTTTTTGCTATTCAAAGCTTTTTTTTTTTTTTTTTGTAAACAAAACAAGTTTATTCTTGCACACAGGCTACCTCCCCCTAAGGCAGGTTTCGAGAGGTCAGCATTAGATGTGAGGAAATGTTTTTTATACAACTCAGGGATAGGGGTTTCCAAATGGGAGATGTGGCGGGCAAAATAGGCAGGGTTACAGGATGCAGAATATAAGCATGAAACGTAATAACAAATTAATCTTAATGACCTTCTGAAACAGACCCGGTTGCAAGGTGGGCATAACCAAAGCTTCTTTTATTCATGACAACTTGAGCGGGTCACATTTAAATAAGCAGATAACATCCTCTATTCTCAGAAATCACTATCCCAACTGAGAGTTTCCTCGAAGTTGCTTCAATATTCCTGGTTTTGTGGTTTATTCAGACTTTAAAAATCATTTTCACGCTCCTTCCCCCCCCCTCTCTCTCTCCTTCCGTTCTCTTCCCTCCGCGAGGTCTCCTTGTTTCTCTGTTTCTCTTTCTCCCTCTCTCCCAGTAAAGCTCTAGAAAGATTAAAAAAAAAATCATTTTCACTAAAAATCCTTTTCACTTTAGAGGCATGGGGCTTTTAATCTTTGTCTTGCTTCTCCCGAGACCCCGCCCAGCCAGCTGCATCTCAATTCAGGCCCCATACACTTTCCCCTCACAATAAATAAAATCAACTGTTTTTTGCTAGTTTAACCATTCCCAGTCTGGTTTGGATTAGACTTTTTGTTTTTGTTTGTTTGTTTGACAAGATCTCCTGTGTCTCAAACTGGCCTTGAACTCTGTAGGACAGCATGACCTTGAACTTTCTTACAGCCCAACTGCTGGGATTTCTGGCAGGCACAAACCACCACACCCACCCTTTAAACATAACATAACTAATTACACATGTCGGTGTTTATTCAGTCACTTCCCCACTGGACATCCCAGTGACCCAGTTGTTTTGGCATGCAACGATGCTACTCAAAGACATCCTACTGTTTTTGTTTTGTCTAATGCCCATAGCAATGGCTTCTTTTTATTTTTATTTATTTATTTTTTTTTTTTTTTTTGGTTTTTCAAGACAAGATTTCTCCGTGTAGTTTTGGTGCCTGTCCTGGCTCTCGCTCTGTAGATCAGGCTGGCCTCGAACTCACAGAGATCTGCCTGCCTCTGCCTCCACCTCCTGAGTGCTGGGATTAAAGCCGTGCGCCACCACAGCTCGAATTAAATTTTAATGAAACATCCTGTGTGCTCCTGTGTAGCCAGTTTGAGTATTTAGTCTGTCACTTCCCTGCTACATATTATCTGCTAAAGACTATCTCTGGGGAACAATAATGGAAATTGAGCTCAGCAGCCTAGGATGATCAAGGAACCTTGGATAAACTCTTTACCCTCCTTGAGCCCCATTTATTCCTCTAAAATGAGACTGGGGGTGCGAAGTCTCGTCATCAAGAGGCTTCAGCTGCCTTTAATTTTAGGTTACCCTAGAGCAGGCAGGCCCAAAGTTAGGGCTAAATACAACTAGAGGCCCTCTTCCATCACGGGAAACAAGCACAGAATGCTTAAGGGTATGGGCAGAACCATAAAGCGTTATCAAGCAGCAAAGCTGATCCCAGGCGGAGGTGCTGGAGGCAGTCTCTGTCCTTAGAATGCACGCTCCGGGCTGAGCACTTCGAGTGAGACCTGGCTTGGAAGCCTTCACCCTGCTCCTCTTTCCTCTCGCCCTACCCCTTACCCACACACTCACACATCATCAGCTAGGAGGTGGGTCCTGCTCAGAGACAACTAGGTCCGAGTGAGCGTCCATTTCTGCACAGCTACAGGTAGTTGCAGCCAGCGTCAGTCCTATGACAAGCGAGATGATTGTGGGGGCGCCCGCAGGCCGTGAGTCTCTGGGACTGGGTCCTTCCTGTCCCTTTTGGTCCTAGCGCACATTAATGGGACAGGTGTGTAGACGGCAGCCAGCTTCATTCTTGTGTGATGTGTTGTGGGCGTTGTTCCTTTCCTTGTGTAGGCATGTATGGAGTGCTGTGCAGTTTGTACGGCCTTTACCTTCTAAAGCCGCCGGTCTTCCTGCTTTTCGCGGCCGCCCCTTCGCCGGTCAAGCCTCTGATAGAGTTTGCGCGTGCGCGACTCCTCCTCAGGCTCCGCCCCCTAGGTTTGAGCTCCGCCTTTGCCACGCTTTACGGCCCGGCACGCCGCTTTTGCTGCAGTTGCTCCGGGCGCTGCTGCTGCTATTGCCGCTCCAGCCGCGGCTGCTGCCCGGGAGGTGAAGGGAGGTGAAGTGTGTTGTTGTGTCTGTGCTGCCGCCGCCGCCCGGAACGGAGTGGAGAGCCGAACGTCCGCGGGCTGGCGAGAGCGGCGAGTCAGCAGCTCCGTGGTTTCCTCAGGCCGGGTCCTGTCTGCGCTGCCGCAGGGAGGCCGCCCGGCCCAGCGAACCGAGCCAATGCTGGACCTGGAGGTGGTGCCTGAACGCTCTCTGGGGAACGAGCAATGGGAGTTCACGCTCGGTGAGTGTGGGATCCTTTCAAGACCCTATTTACTGGCCCCTGCTTCTCTCTGGCCCCTTCCGCTGCTGGGCTCTGCCCCAGGTGCCGCTGCGTCCGCGGCTCTCCGCCTTTTCGTACCCTCTGGTCTTTTGGTTCCAGGCTTTAGATACCCGCTCCTCCCATCTGTCACAGGATAAGCGATGCCCTCGCCTGGGGCTCCAGCAGGGTCCTTCTTAGGAGCTGTAGTACTAGTAATTATAATAATAGCCGATACACTCCAAATACTTAGTGAGAAGGCCCTGCTCTTTTGAATTTATCTCTAGTAACCGTCCCTAAGATCTGAGGATCGATACTATTGTTATGCCCATTTTGCAGACTATGGGCAACCCTCTGGTCACTGATCTGTCTTCCTTTGGTTTTAGAAAGAAGCAGAGGGATCGGGAGGACATGGGTTACTTTTTTCAGAAGGAAAACCTAAGTTCAAATCTCATCCTAAGATGGTGCGGGAAGTTGAACTTGCTTTGTTAAAGGAACTTCTGAATTGTTTTCTTCTTCTCTTTTGAAATGTAGCCTTAGCGTGTGATGTCGTAATACTAGATGCCAGAGTTAAAAGTTGAGTGAAGTGGAAATTACACATAGCTTTGTAGACAGTTCAGTTTGGTCACTTTTGGGTTAGTTGACCTTTTTATGTGAACAAGCATATTTGGATTTAGTAACTCCAGTGTGTTTACTTTATGTCAGCACTAAGAAAAGGGGGTGGGAAGCAGGTGTTGCTGCTGCTTGTTTGTGTGGGCCTGAACCTCTGTCACTCTGGTGTGGGCTCCTAGGCTGTCAGCTGCTCCATTTGATTATGACTTGTCCTTGACTGTGGAAGGTTCAGGTCTATAGAGACAGCATATTGGAAAAAAAACAAGCTGGGTAGATTGCTGGAAAGAGCCTGCTGGGGCTTGGTGCCTGCCTGCCTGCCTGCCGCCTGCCCCTTGGAGAAGCCAGTTTATCGAGGCATCTTGACTCTCTCCTCTCGGAATTTAGATTGCCTGCCTGTTCCTATAGAGTTATCAGAATTTTATATGCTATGAAAATGTTCCATTCAACATCTTGGAAGGCACCAAGAGCTTGATTGAAAAGCTAATGCTGTTTGGCTTTTAATTAATATCCTTTCCTCCCCTGACAACTCCTACCTAACCTGGACCTTCCTGGACCTGCTAAGAACCACAGCTTCAGCTTCCGACTCAGAGGGTATAATTAGAGTGTGGATCTCTTTGTTTGATTTAGTGACTATAGAAGATTGGTTGAGGTAAGGAAACTTCCAGAACAACGAGGTAGATAACTAACTACCAAGGGCTTCCTCTGGTAAATGTTTGACCATAAAACCCTAAGCTGCCAGTTTTCAGGAACCAAGAATTTGAGTAGTTCTTTCAAACTGTCTTTGCAGTATCCAGAAATAACAGCACACTGGGTTCAGAGTTGAACTTTTCGGGGAAGCTCATAGGGAAGACCCGAGCCTTTGAGATTACTTGTAAACATTTTCATTATTGTGTTTGTTTTTAAGTTGGGTTTCATTTGCTTGTTTGTTTTTCAGACAGTTACTAGCCCAGACTGGCTTCAAACTCCCTATAGCTGAAGTTTATTTTAACTTATATTTCTGCCTCCATCTGGGTTTCTGTAGTACTAGAGATCAAATCCAGTAGCCAGCACAAGAGTATGCTACCATGTCCATTTAAAATCTGTGGGTTTTTTGAGGGGGGGGGTTGTTTGTTTTTGTTTTATTTCATGAGCATTGGTGGTTCACCTGCATGTATGTCTGTGTGAGGGTGTCCGGATCCTCTGGAACTGGAGTTACAGACAGTTATGAGCTGCCGTATGTGTGCTGAGAATTGAACCAGGGTCCCCTGGAAGAGCAGCCAGTGCTCTTAACCACCGAGCCATCTCTCCAGCCCCCAAGTCTGAGTTTTTAATTTTAAATTTCTTTAGGAAGAAAGTTCAGTAGTTAAGATCACTGGCTGCTCTTCCAAAGGACCAGAGCTAGATTCCTAACCCCACCCCAACCCCCAACCCCCACTCTGGCCTCCACAGGCACTACATGCACATCCTGCAAACACATACACATTTAAAAAAAAATGTATGGGGAGGAACCTGTGTATGTGTGTCTGTGTCAGTGTGGAGGTCAGAGGACAATCTGCAGGAGTTGGTTCTCTCCACCATGTTTGTCCTAGTGACCAAACTCTGGTGTCCAGGTTTGCCAGTAAGCACCCTTGCTGACTGCCATCTTACTGACCCTGAAATCTGCAGTTTTAGATTATGTAAATCCAGGACTGGGTGCGGTGACACACACACCTTTAATCCCAGGATTCCAATTTTTGTTTGTTTGGTTTTGTTTTTTTGAGATAGTGTCTCTACATGGCCCTGGCTGTCCTGGAACTCAGCTATGTACAACAGGCTGGTCACAGAGATACACCTGCCTCTGGCATTCGCCACCACACCCAGCAAGAGACTATAATCCTTTATAACTAAATTATTAAAGGAAATAGAAGGCTCATTTTAGGAATTACCCAATGAGATACCAAACCACAAATTTAAAAAATAAGGGGTTTTTTTTGGGGGGGGGTGGGGGTTGGTGGTTTTTTTTATTTTGTGGAGGAGTTGTTGTTATTTGTTTGGTTGGGTTTTTGTTTTTTGTTTTTCAAGACAGGGTTTCTCTGTAACCTTGGCTGTCCTGGAACTCACTCTGTAGACCAGGCTGGCCTCTGACTCAGAGATCCACCTGCCTCTGTCTCCCAAGTGCTGGGATTAAAGGCGTGCACTGCCCTGCCGCTGCCGCCGCCCAGCATAAGGTATTTTTAATTATGGTGATCTAGAAAGCTGGCAAAATATAGTGAATGAACAAAGTTTAGTTAGTTTGGTTGAAGGAACTTTTTGAAAGGATACACAGAGGCATAAAGATCCTCTTTGAAGAACACCTTTCTGTTGCATTCAAGGGTTGTGCCTGTGTTTTTTACTATTATTATTATTTGGCTAACATACAGAGAAATGGGTTTCACTGACCATACTTTAATTATTTGTTCCCACCCTGCCCTTCCCCATCTCCCTATTTCCTCCTCTGGTTGGTCTTCCTCTCACCACTGCATTGGAATTCTACCTTTATCTATTCTACCTTTATAGTAAAAAAGGATAAAAGCATATTTGTTGAGGAACACAAAATGAAGGAAAGAACTTAAGGCTCCTATGGCTCTAGATCATGTGAGTTAAAGGTGTTTTAACTCTAGGTTGGGTTTGGATTGTTTTTTAAATCACTGTGGAGAATTTTTCAAGATTTTTTTTTCTTTT